GGAGCCCCATGGCTTAGCAGGAGGGGCTCTGTGCGATTTAGGCCTCGTGTATGCTAGAGAGTTTAACCGGCAACAGTTCTGCCTGCAGACGGCTACTGCCAAGGCTCTTTCAGCAGAGGGAGTTAACACTTGGGCCGTGGACGCACGTGGCATCAGATTGTAGCTGCAAAAGACATGGCTCCGGGAGCTATCCCAGCGTCCCCTGCACCACCTTCTGACGCAGTGCCTTGTGGGGAATTTTGGCTGTGTCTTGTGGGATATCCTCACTCCTCATAGGGAATTTGGGACTGCGCGGTCGGATCCCATAAATCCTTCGGTTCCATCCCATAATCTACTCTTGTTCGCTCTGTTTTCAGCTGCACTGCTGAAACTATGGACACAGCACTGAGCAGCAATGCGCTCGGGTCCATTTTAAGGCCGGAACAAGGCATTCTCTTGTATTTGCCAGTCCACTGTGCTCAGAGACAGGGTACCGAGGACGAGTGGGCAAGAAACGACATTGTCCAGCCGCGACAAGCATTTGCTGACCAACAGGTGCTGAGCGGTGCCATTGGCTCGTGATGCAGAACTGGGCCGACCAGCAGCAGCACCAGAACTTTTGGACATGGGAGGCCACATCCCTGGAGCTGTGCGCCAGGCTAACCCCAGCCCTGCAGCACCCAGGCACTGAGACGGCCCTGACGGTGAGGAAATGGGTGCTGAGAGCCAGGTGGGAGCTTGCAGCCCCACATTGCTATCGGGCGGCGGGCAACCAGTCTGCTGCTGGGAAAAGCCACGAGGAAAGTGATAGTCATCCAGGTGCACAAGGCCAGTAAATGTGTCCAGCTGCACAGCAGTGTGACCAGACAGTGCGCAGGAAATAACAGATGAAGTCAATGAAATGGGCTTCCCTGGCTAGGCAGGGGGTGATAGACGGGCGGCACATTCTGATTCTGCCCCCCCTCACACTTCCCTCTGAGGGGGCTTCTCCATGGTTGAGCAAGTGTTAGTGGAGCACTAGGGATGATTTACTGAACAGAGCATAAGAACGGCCAGACTGGGTCAGACCAAAGGTCCATCTAGCCCAGTATCCTGTCCTCTGACAGTGGCCAGTGCCAGGTGCCCCAGAGGGAATGAGCAGAACAGGGAATCATCAAGTGATCCATCCCCTGTTGTCCATTCCCAGCTTCTGGCAAACAGAGGCTAGGCTACTGACACATTGGCTGGGGTGGGACGGTCCATGATGCTTTATCTTTAGGAACACAGCACCTCTTGACAGGCTGAAAGCAGGGACGATTCTCCCGAACTGGCCTATTGGCATAAATAGGGTTCCAAAGCCAACTTGGCGTCTCGGGGATCAAGGCCACCCTTTGCTCCCCTGGCTCATGAAGCCTGACACCGAGCTCCCGGACAGCAGCAAGAAAAGATTTAACTATCTCCTGAGGCTGTAGACTGACCTTCGGGAGACTGAAGGGCAGGGAATGTGTCATGACGAGGCTCTGTCTCAGCAAGGAAAATGTCCAGTAGTTATTGTTGCCTGCTGCACCTTGCATAACATCCGCCAGCCCAAGGGGGAGCCCCCCACTGCCAGGTGGGGGAGTGCATGGACAGGCTGTGTGTTGAACGTGAGCTCGGCCCATTACTAGGCTGCTGCAAGGGCAGCGCCAGTGCGGGAAGCTTTATGAGTTCACTCTGGCAGCACGCATGAGACAGACGTGTCCCAGGCAATATCCTGGTTTGCCTGGCCAGTGATGTTACCTGACATGCAGTGGTAAGTTTGCAGTGTGTGTGAGGTTGGTTACGGGCAAGTCCCCGTGTTCCATATGCCTCAGTTACCCAGTATCTCTATTGCCTTGAGAACATAAACACAGCCGTACCGGGTCAGACCAAAGGTCCATCTAGCGCAGTATCCTGTCTACCGACAGTGGCCAATGCCAGGTGCCTCAGAGGGAGTGGACCAACAGGCAATGATCAAGTGATCTCTCTCCTGCCATCCATCTCCATCCTCTGACAAACAGAGGCTAGGGACACCATTCCTTTCCCATCCTGACTAATAGCCATTAATAGACTTAACCACATGAATTTATCCAGTTCTCTTTTAAACGCTGTTATAGTCCTAGCCTTCACAACCTCCTCAGGTAAGGAGTTCCACAGGTTGACTGTGCGCTGCGTGAAGAAGAACTTCCTTGTATTTGTTTTAAACTTGCTGCCTATTAATTTAATTTGATGACCCCTAGTTCTTGTATTATGGGAATAAGTAAATAACTTTTCCTTATCCACTTTCTCCACATCACTCATGATTTTATATACCTCTATCATATCCCCCCTTCGTCTCCTCTTTTCCAAGCTGAAGAGTCCTAGCCTCTTTAATCTCTCCTCATATGGGACCCGTTCCAAACCCCTAATCATTTTAGTTGCCCTTTTCTGAACCTTTTCTAGTGCCAGTATATCTTTTTTTTAGTATG